GGAGTGGTGGTGGTGGGACAAAAGAGAAGCCCTTCCTTTCAAGGAGCCATCCCAGAACTGGCACACAGCACTTCTGCTTGTATCTCACTGCGGCAACTTCGTCCCGTGGCCACACCTAACTGCAAAGCCGAGCGCATCGCTGCCCCAGATAAAATCAGGGTTTGGTGACTGAGGAAAGAAGGGAAGAAGAACATGGAACGGGCATCCATCAGGCTCTGCCACAAATCCCAGTTTCTATGAGGGGAAACTGAGGCCCAGAGAGGTGAAGGAACTTACACACAGCCACAGAGCAAATGAGCGGCTGGGTTGGGATTCGCACCCAACGGTCGATCGTCCCGTGGTGCAGCTGTCACCTCGCACTCTAGTATGTCCGGCCATGGGAGCACTGCCCCTCCTCACCCCGGCCCTGCTTGGGTCAGTCCCCCTAACGTCACACCTGCGAGCTCCACCTCCCGCCTCCCCAGCCCCCTGTGCAGCAGTGCCAGGATGTAGGTGCGGTGACCACAAAGGCGGGAGAACACCCAGGGAGCTGACAAACCGCAGATGGCTGAAACCAGCTAAACCTTTTCAGCTGCAGATACCTGTCGTGGCTTCCGCATGCTGTGCCCTGATCGGGATGTTTCCTCAGTTTCACTTTTCAGATTCATTTCTTAGATCCTAAAACGTGAGGCCTGGCCCAGGCCTGGAAGAACATGTAGGCTGCCTTTTATTTATTTAGTTTTTAACAAATGGAGAAACTGAGGTCCAGTGAAGCAAAAGTCTGTATCCCGGAACCCAAGGTACCTGTGGCAAAGAATATTATACGTCTCTCACTCTGATTTCTCTTCAGCGGCATACGCAGAAAGATGGCATTTCTCTAATAAGAAGATTAGAAATGACACTTTTTATGAACAGTTCTCAGCACAAGGGCTGGATCTTGCTGGGTGCTCAATACACGATCACTTTATTGCTATTAAATCCAGGAGCCCAGCAAGGACGGCCTCCCTTGCAGCAAAGTTGGGGCCATGTGACTACTTCTGGCCAATGAAATATGAGCAGAAGTGATGATGTCACTTCTCCATCCTTCTCTTTCCCTGCCAAGGTGACCTTGGAGGCCACTGCTCTAGAACAGGGATTTGCAAACTGCAATGTGCATGTGAATCACCTGGGGGCCTTATCAAAGTTTAGATTCGGGTTCTGGGGCGGGGCCTGAGAGCGCATTTCCAACAAGCAACCAGGAGATGCTGACTCGCAATTGAGTAGGGAGGAGGTCCAGGACGCAGCTCCCAGATGCAGCCCTGCCTGACCCACATTGACTATTTGTGAGCAAGAAGTAAATCTTCACTGGGTTAAGCCACTGAGATGTGGGAGTTTGTTTATGGCCTCAGCATGGCCTAATCTACCGTGATTAATTCACTGGGATAGGGAATGGTCATTTAGTCAGTCAACCATCACTGATTGAGTTCCTTCCATGAACTCCTTTTGTGCCCTGGGCGCTCACTCTTCGGGTCGGCGCCGGAGGATGGAAGCCTCCTTAAATTGCGCACCCCAGGCGCCTCTCTCGCCTGGCCCCAGCCCCAGCCTGTAAGTCGGTGGGGAGCCGGATTTGAAGCTGGCACCTTTTGACTTGGAAGCCTGTGTTTCCTTTCGGTAAGGCGAAGGGGCAGCCACGCTCACCCCGGGGCCTTATTTGGGGGCAGCAGCCCAGCCCAAAGACTCACGGGCTCCCTGGACTCTCACATCCCTCTGGTGCCCAGCTTGGAGGTCTGGGGGTCCGAGCCGCAGCTAACCAGTCAGCACAGTGGCTTGGAGCTGCGAGTGGAAGGTGGTCTCTCGGTCCCTCGCACTCATCACCAACGCCCTTGCGCCGCCCGTGTGGCTCCAGATCTGGCCAGGCGCCAGGGCCTCCCCCGCCCACGCTCTCCCAGCCTCAGTTATTGTAGAGGAAAGTTCCAAGAAAAATCTACACGGCCTCTGCTACTGGCATGGCTGTGATCGGGGTGTCTGTCTCCACCTCGCCTCCGCACTCCTAATCTCTCCAAACATTTGCCTTCATGCCTCTGACAAAGAAGGGGTTTGAAACGGATCCTCTCAGGAAAAACTAATCAGTGGCCGTAGAGGTCAGAATAGGAGGTATCTGGGGGGCAGAGTCTTGGAAGGGGCATGAGGAACCTTCTGGAAATGTAGCTTGATCTGAGTGGTGATTACATGGGTATATACATAATCATGAACACACATGATCATACATGTATGTGCATGCATATACACATGTATGTAGATACATGATTATACATGTACGTGCATATATGTGAAGAGTCATGAAGCAGTACATTTAATACTAGTTCACTTTAAGGACTTTTCTGTGTATATGTTATCCCTCAATTTAAAAAATATGTATCACAGAGAGCTCTATGGGCAGTAGCAAAAATACATAAGAACAACAAAACTGCAACTTAGGTTTTAGAGTCATATGGACCTCTGCTGAAAATCTGGCTCTGTTTTCCACCTGTGTGACCTTAGGCAAGTAACTTAACCTTTCTGAACCCCACCTTTTTATTGAGGTATGGATTGTGAAAATTAGAAATGACACTTTTTATGAACAGTACTTAGCACACGGGCTAGATTTGCTGGGTGCTCAATACGCGATCACTTTATTGTGACTAAGACCAGTAGCCCAGCAAGGACAGGAAGGTGGGGGTGGTTTTCCCTGGGTGCAGGCGATAAGGGGGTAGCAGGTAGAGAACTTAAAGATAAAATGGGGGGGCAAGGGCAACATACGTAACCTAAACATCTGTACCCCCATAATATGCTGAAATAAAAAAAAATAAAGATAAAATAAAATCGATGAGAAGGCAGTCTGCTTTTGATCATCACTGTGTGATGGCAAATATAGGTAATGTCAGTGATAAAATAGTCTGTCCTGGAAAGATCGTTTATTGGTCTAAGTTCTAAAGAACTGTTTTGGTAACTGTTGAATTTTAATAACACATATGTAAGCTTCAAAGGAGCACATTTTAATTCTTGTCCTTTGATAAACGTAGTCTACATAGAAGTTAACTTGGAGAACTTAGAGGAGCACAGTTGCCCCCGTACGCTTGGACGTAGGAACACGCGTTCATGGAGAGAGCAAGTTCCTAACGGTCGGGAACCTTTCAAGCTTGCTTCGGGCACGCGACCCTCCGCCGTCTGCGTTAGTATTTCTGCATTTAAGCAGTAGATTCGACTAAACAATGAATGCAGAGTGATGGTACAGACAACGCTATAAGTATTTCAATTTTGTCATCTTGCACGACTACTTGGAGTTTTGCTTTGTGTTTAAAATTTTAAAAAGAGTGAAACAGCGTGAAGTGTGAAGGGAAACGGTTTTGCTTGGTAAGTGCAAATTTTAGTTCATACATGAAATATGTTTGTTTCATTTCGTGATTATTACTGAAAATAATTTTGCTGTAGGAAGGAGGGGGGTGTTTAAAATGATCTATTTGGGGTGTAAAATACCCTAGGCATATCTCTGATTGAAACATCGGCACTTTAAAAAAAAAACCAGAAACTCACTCTGTTTCTCTTTTCCCCTCAAATCTCTGGACCCCCCACCCCCACCCTGGCCACTTCCTCCTGCCATAAATGATCAAATCCCACATTTTCATCTTCAACCTCCATCTCCATTGCCGCTTTCTCTGGTGGCTGCAGCAGGAGGGAGTCTCCTCCACGCTGAAAATCCTGCAGTCTTGCTCCTTACCAACTGCCCATTCTGGAACCTTCTACGGTCCAGCTCCATCACTCTGAGGTTTGGGATACTGGTGGGGGTGATGGGGGCCCAAGCCTTCCCCAGCCACCCCTCGGCATCACCTCTATAATTATCTTTGCCACGTTCTACAGGCAAAGCCCATGTCTTTCCATCCCCCACCCCCTGTGGCTGGAATGTTGCAGGTGTCCCCAAATCTTGGTGGTGTGAATTTGCGTCTTACTGTCCTCATACATCACACTCCCCATCGCACAGAAAGCTGCGGTCATACTTCGGCTCCCAGAAAAGGCAGCTATCATACTCTGTCCCACCTCTAGGCATTTGTACTTGCTGTTCCCTCTGCCTGGAACATCCCACCCTCTCTCACCCTCTGTTTTCTTGGCTCTCTGAAATGACACCTCCTTCAGAAAGCTGTCCCTCACCTTTGGTCTGAACAAGGGACCCTCTTTGGTATTCCCAGGAGTTCCGCCTGTCTCCCCACCTGTTGTCCCCCTCTTGTCCCTGTCCTTGGGTCAGTGCTGTGTCCCCTGCGCCTGCAGAGGAGACCTCAGAGTTGGTTGAATTAATCAAAATGGATTTGGTTTGACCAGATCATCTAGCAGCGGGAAGCAAGTGCTGCACACAGTAGGTCCAGCCTGCTTGGCTCACCCACTGTGGGCCATCTTCCAGAGCTGGGGAGCAAGCCATGGGAGACCCCTCATTGCCAAGAGCAAATAGGCCGCCCAGGGAGGTTTTGCTCTGGGTCACACCCACCTTTGGGAGGCTGCCAATCTTCCTGCCAGAAACCGCAGGCTGAGCTGAGGCTGCCCAGAGTCCGGGCCACGGGGCTTAGAAGGCCCTGGGGTCAGATCCTCAAAGGGGGTGTTTGCTGAATGCTCCTGGCATCTACAGCCCCCCTGGGCTCGGGCAGGGGTCTGGGGTAGGGCTGCCGCAGCTACAGCAGCAGCTGGGGACAAGGCCCTCTTGGGCTGGAAGGAGCTAGAGAGGCCCCTGCCAGGCTGTCACAGCTCCTGGCGCTGGCATTGGCTCAGGCTTTCACACACTGGCAGGCACCCCCTTGGTGGCCTCCACAGTCTCACCTGCAGGTAAACGGGCTCATCACCAGGACCAGGAGGATGGGGAGAGGAGCAAGGAATGGAAAGGCCAGTGTGTGAGTGTGTGTGTGTGCATGTGTGTGTGCGTGTGTGTGCCTGGGAGTGACCTCACAGCCGCCGGAACATAAAGACCCACAGGTCCTGCCTCCCAGGCTCAAAGCTGGCTCTGCAGGGAACACAGTGACATGAGAGGCACATCACAGACCCACCTCCTGGCCTTCTCTCTCCTCTGCCTCCTCTCAAAGGTAAGGGGGCCCGGGCTGGAGGGGCAGGGGTGTAAAATCATAGCCAGGGACCCCCTGGCAGAATTCCTCCAGGGCCCCACTCTGGGCACAGTGTGGTCACCGTGCCCAAACCAGGCTTCCCTCCCTGGTGCCAGGGAGCTGCCTCTGGCCAGCCCTGCTGTGTGACCTCAGGCAAGTCCCTTTCCTTCTCTGAGCCTCGCCTTCTTCCTCAGTTGAATGGGCACAATGTCTGTGAGGCCTGTGTGAGGATCGTTCATGATAATGCATCTAAAATGCTTAGCACAGTCCCTGGCAAGTGGTGAATGTTCAAAAGAGGATTTTAATGACTATTACCAATCCCCACACCCCTCTACAAAGCAGGGGCGGGTATCCCCATCATAAATGGGGGGCATTTAAGCCATGACGTGCATTGCCTAACTCTGAGCCAGGATTCGTGTGGATGTTTGAATGGTGTCTCACTCGTTGGAAAGTTCATTCTGCAAGGGTATTAGTGCCGTGGGATCCTTAAGCAGTGAGTGACCCACTGACCCTGGCTACAGGGGGACAGGACACTGCAATGCAGTAATAGTCTTCTCCCCCAGTGATGCATGGGACATTTATCAAAGGGCATGTGGGATGTCCACCTCACCTAACATGCACAACAACCGTAAAATAAATTATCTTCAGTTTTCAGTCAAGTGAGGCTCAGAGAGGGTAAGCAAGTCTCCCAAAGCCACACAGCAAAGAAACATCAATGCAATAGAGAAGGGGCGTGGCAGAGCCCATGATACACATAGGTGTGGATATGGGAGGGGGACTCCAGTCTGCACCCTCCCAGCCCTAACCTGGACCAAAGCCACAGCTACTGACCCGTGTCATCCCCGCAGCAAATGCTGAGTTCCGGGAACCGTGGGATTGGCCCCACCACAGCCATGACCTCACTGTATTTTCACGCTCCTTTGAGGAGCACGGGCAGGAGCTTCTCTCTGCTGTCCCCACGCAGTCGTGCCAGGGAAAGCCGAGAACGCTGCTGGCACCCAGTCCTGCTGTTTGTTCTCTCAAAGGGGAAGGGCAGGACGTGATGCCAGGGTGGGTGGCTTGGGTAGCTGGAGCAGGGGATGTGGGGTCCTGGGAGGGAGAAGGGGCCCAGGATTATGAAAGGCCAATGTAAAGCTGTCCTAGACTCACCATGGGGTGAGACCAATGGGACCCTCCTTCCCTGGTCCCAGGAAGCCAGGCAGCATCCTGCACAGAAACACGGGGACTTGGTCATGGCTGGCACGGGAGCCACAGCAACCCGCAGAGAGAGAATTTCAAGTCTTCCGGGCAGGCTGTAGGATTCTGGGCTCAGGGCTGGGGACAGGGCAGGAAGCAGATGCCTGGAAATGAGTAAAGTCACGTTGACCAAAGAGCTGGCCCGGAGCTCATTTAACCCCAGTCACCACTCGGAGCTAGGGGGTGCCCACTCCGCGCTGCAGAGGAGAAGCTGGGCTCCGCCACCACGTTGCAAGCAGCTAAGCCGTGTGTTCAAAGTCACGTAGCAAGTCGGTGGTAGAACTTGGATCTCAGCGCTTGCCCAGAAAACTCCAGGCCCAGAGCTTCCGTACAGAGCCTCTCCCTGGTGACCACAGCAAAGCTCCGGGGAAACCCGGGTGTGATAGGACAACTTGAGCTTGGCCCTTGGATTCACATGAACGTGGATTCTAATCCTAGCTCCACCGCTTACTGGCTGTGTTACTACATGGCTTTGAGCTTCAGTTTCCAAATCTTTAAAATGGGCATAAGGATGGTACCTCACACTGAAGGGTTAAATTAGACAACAGCACGTGGCACATGGCACACACGTGGTATAACACGTGATAACTGACAGCTACAGTCATTGATATTATTAATAGCCTCTCCTGGGGGCCCTGGGGACCCGGCAGAGTCCAGCCCCTGCCAAGCTTGCCCGGCAAAGGGGGCCCACAGCAGGGACCCAGGCCACAACAGATGGCCTATTTCCTGGCCTCCCTGTTTTCAGGTGACAGGGGTCTGAGAGCCAGGACTGGTCGGAGTCCCCCACGGCCCACAAACCCAGGGCACCGAGCCTCTGGTTTGGAAGGGAACCCCAAAGTTCAGCCTATTTCTTCTCAGACCCTCTAGATTTGCGGGCTGTAGATGCCGCGTTTCTAACAAGATCCTCAGTAATGTTGCTGCGCTGGTCTAGACCACACCTGAGGGGCGAGGCTGGGCCATCTTCTCTAGAACCTGAAAATCCTGCAGGGATGGGACCTGGTGCCCCCGTGAGAGGCACACAGGTGCACAGACACACACATCCACCTGCTGCTACCGGGTGCCGCCCCAGGTGGGAGCCCAAGGCAGCCCCACCAGGGACGGGTCGGCCAGGTCAGGGTGGCCCCTGGTGGCCAGCATGGGAGCTGCAGGCAACTGAAAGCAGGTTTGCAGGACTTTGGGGGGTGGGGGGCGTATTGGGGTGGGGCAGGGCGGGGGCTAAGGGCAAAGGGGTCATTGCCTGCTTTGAGGACACACGGGAGATATGAGGTCACTAATTTCACCTTCCTAAACTGTATATCTCTCCTCCTCTAGTTAAAACCCTCTAGTTCCCTAAGAGCTCTACCGAACTAAAAATTGTTCTCCCACGAACAGGGCCCCTGCGGTATTACAGGGAATTATACCCACCCCTTGGTCCCCAGCCCCAAATGGCCAAGCAGGGAGCCCGCGGCACCTGATTTATGGCTTGGTTGTTTCCGTGACCTGTGTGGGAGGGGCGGGTGGGTCACTTGGGCTGATACCTTGACCCTGCCACTGGGGGTGGTCCCTGGCTCAGGCTTTTCCCCGTTATGGAAAAAGTGAACCCCCACCCGGTGACCCTGGGCCCTCACTGGGGAAGCAGGGCTTGGGACTGCTCCCAGCTCTGCAGCCAACACGCTGACTTTGGCAAGTCCCTTCCCCCCCCTGGAGCTCAGTGGCCCCATCTGAACCTGGCATGGGGAGCGGGGCAGAGGTGCTGAACCCCAGATGAGCTTCAGAAGCCCCCGAACAGCTTGTTAAAAATACAGATTCCAGGGTCCTGCCTCTGGGACTTCTGATTTGGTAAGTGCCAGAGGGGGTCTGGACGTTTGTATTTCACCAAGTTTTCTGGCTTTGGATTTGGTGCACATCCAAGGTTTGGAAACATGTTTGGATTGCTCCAAAGACCAAAAACATCCATGATGCTGTTTGATGTACTCAGTCCTCAAGATAAGTACCACATGCTGGAAAATGTGCCATACCCTGCCGTTTTCATGCTTCCTTTGTTGCTTCTGCCCTTCCGTCACCTTCTAGCAGGCAGGAGCTGAGCCCTTCACTGTAATGAAGTGTGATGGTCATCAGAGCTCAATGCATTGAGCACCTACTGCATGCCAGGCCATGTGCTGAGGGTGTGGCATGCGTCAGTTCACGTACTCCTCAAAACAATGCTCTGAGGGAGATACTACTACTGCTCCCATTTTATAGTTGATGAAACTGAGGCTCAGAGAGCTTAAGTAACTTCCCCAAGGTCACTCAGCTAATAAGGGCAGAGTTAGAATTGGAACTCTAGTCCATAGTCTTTGCTTTTGATCACAATGCCATACCGGCTCTTAGGGAGTGCCACGGGGCTGCCAGGGTTCAGGGCCAGGTCCGCGTGGCTCTGAGGCCAAGGTGTGAACCCCACACCTCCCAGCCTGGCAGGGAGGTGGCCAGTTGTGAGGGTCTCCCTGTCCACCTCAAAAGCCCATGGCTGAGTGAGGTCTCTGTCTCTTCAGGTGTGTGCCCAGCCATGCCCGCTACCGTGTGACTGCCCCTGGCGACCACCCCCATGCCCGCCGGGGGTGCCCCTGGTGCTGGATGGCTGTGGCTGCTGCCGGGTGTGTGCACGGCAGCTGGGGGAGCCCTGCGACCGCCTCCACATCTGCGATGACAGCAAGGGCCTGGTCTGCCGGCCCGGGGTGGCCCCCAGCGGCCAGGGGAACTTTTGCTTCTGTAAGCAGGTTTGCGGGACTGATGGAGGTTGTGTGCGGGAGGTCAAGGCCATGGGGTCCTGAATCAAAGGGCGACCTTCCTCTCTCTCCCTCCCTTCACCCTCTTCAGGTACACCATCCATTCCAGCCAAACCTGGTGACCCAAGGTTCTCCCGGGCCCGCTCCTTACTTCCCCTCTCTTGGTCTTTGCTCATATCATGCCTGCCACCTGGACCCCCTCCCCCTCCCCACCTGTCCAAATCATTGCCAACTTCCAAAGCCAAGCTCAAACACCTCCCCTGAGAAGCCCTCCCAGATTCTTCCAACTGGAAGCCACCAACCCCTTCTCAGGATCCTCATAACACTTTGGGGAAAATAAAAGTGCAACCCCTCATTTAGGGCATAATATGTGTCCGGCACTGTGCTAAGCACATGCTACACAAGTCACATCATCCTCACTATAATCCTATGACAGTAAGTACTTTCAGACCCATTTTACAAGTGAGGAAACTGAGGCTCAGTGGTATTAACTGATATGCTTCACGTCACACAGCTTGGGACCTGATCTGACAGGCTCTAAAGGAACATTCCATACCATCTTCCTCCCAGAGTGGGAGCCCTCAGACCAGTTTGAATCTTGGGTTTCCTATTTACCAGTGAACTTGAACACGTTACATTTCTCACCACTCTTCCAGGCTGTGGTATCCTCTGACGCTTTAGGGTATGGTTTGGCAGCTTGCTCTAGTGACATTTGGGGCCAGATAATTCTTCGTTGGGGGTGGGGAGCTGTCCTGTGCATAATAGAAGACTGAGCAGCATCCTGAACCCCACCCACTAGATGCCAGCAACGACCCTCGCCCCCACCCCCTGGCCCGGTCCTGACAGTATGTCTTTAGACATTGTCAAATGTCCTCAGGGAGCAAAATCCCCAGTTGAAAACCATTGCGTTAGAGAACTAGAAAGAGGTAAGCATTTGTTTGTTCTTTTTTTTTTTTTTAATAATAAGCCTGTAGAACTATTTAATTCTTTCATCTACATGCATGTCACTTTAACAAAAATAAGAACGAGAGAGAGAGAGGGAGAGAGAGAGAGAGAGTGAGAGAGAGAGAGAGTGAGAGAGGTTCCTGAATCATTGACAATGACTCCATCTATAGGAAAAGCCTTGTTCAAAAAACAACAATAAAACTCATAGACAGAAAGTTATCAATAGTAAATCCTTGTTAAGTGCTTTATTTGATTGGGGCCATATTGGAAGGAGAAAGGGATGATTTGTTATACAAACTCATGGTGACTGCTTATGAAAATGTACCTAAAGAAAAAACCGAGATAAATAACACTTAGCTTCCAAGGCTGTTATGTAAATTCTCCACGACACACGTAAACAGCACTTGCCAGAGTTTATTTATTAAACACTTCCATAGCCCTTACCATATGCCAAGCACTGAGGGCATCACGAATATCAACTCATTTTATCTCACAACCACCATATGGGGTAGGTACTAATGTTACCCTTATTTTATAAATGGAAGTAAGAGGCACAGAGAGGTTAAGCAACTTGCCGAAGGTCACACAGCGCCTTAGTGGCAGAGCAGCAATTTGAACTCAAGGGAGGTGGCTCCATGACCTTAGGCTCCATGACCTCAACTGCCTAACACTCGGCACATGATTGTTACATAGTGGCTATTGTTGTCCATAACTTTTTTAAGGGGCTTTTCTTATTCCATCTTAATTCAGATTTCAAACACCTGCAGGCCAAGGGTTTACTTGGTCCCTGGTCCTCCCTGCAGCTTCCAACCTGGTCTGGCCACACGGTGGGTGCTCATGAATGTTTAATGATTTGAACCGAGCTTATGGGCTGGAGCTGGAGAACAGCACAGGTGAGTCAGAGTCCAGCTAAGACCCCACAGAGGCTCAGTCTCGGTCCTGGGCTCTGCAGGGAACATGCTGCCAGAAGACGTCTGTCACTTACTCGTTCTACTAGCCTTCTCTGAGGGCCCACTCCAACCGCGCACCGCGCTGCAGGTTCACGATCGTGCCGACGGCATGGCCGGCGCTGAGCTCTGACCTCCCACCCCTCGAACTCGCAGCTCCCCCAGCCAGTCGAGAGCGTCTCCGTCCTTCCCACGGCTCCGGCCCAACACCTTGGGGTCATTCTCGATGTGTTTCTTCTTCTCACCCCCCACGTACTCTTCGCCTGCAAACTCGCCACGGTGTTTCCAGAATCCGACACCGCTCAGCCCCTGCACGGCCACCACCCTGGTCTGAGCCCTGTCGTCCTTTGCCTGGACTTTGCAGCAGCCCCGCAATCGTATCCTTCCTCTGCCCTCGCCCCTAGTCTATTCACAACACAGCAGGCAGAGGGCTCAGAGTACATCCTCCTCTGCCCTGAACCCTCCAGTGGCTTCCCACCTCCTCGGAGTAAAAGCCAAAGTCCCCACAGTGGCCTACAAGGCACCACAGGATCCTGCTCCTGTTTGTTCTCCCTCCCTTTCTCTGCTCCAGCCACACCGACCTCCTCATCATTCCTCAAACACACCTGGCACACTCCAGCCACAGGGCCTTTGCACTGGCTCTTCCCCCACCAGCATTCTTTGCCCACAGATACCTGCAGGGCGAGTTCCCTCATCTTTACTCTTGACTCAAATGTCACCTTCTGAGCGAGGCCTTCCCTGATCACCATATTTAAAAACCGCAAACCCCTCCCCTACTCCTTAACCTTGCTTTATTTTTCTAGCACTCATCACCAGCTGACATAATAAACCTACTTGTTTATTATGTTTATTTCCACTAAGGTGAAAGCGCCAACGAAGGCAGGTGTTTTGCCTGTTCTATTCACTGCTATATCACAAGCACCTACAGCAGTGCCTGGGCCATCAGAGGCACGCAGTAAATATTTGTTGAATAAATAAGAACCATAGTTCTAGTGGGGCTAGCAGTACCAGGAACCATTTACTGAGCATGTACCGTGAGCAAGTCTTTGATGTACATGATTTCATTTTATCCTTCACGTTGAGTTAGGTCCTATTATTATCCCTATTTTGCAGATAAGGAAACTGGGCTCAGAGAGGTTAAGTCATCTGCCCAAGGTCACACAGTTTGCAAGTGGCTGAAGGTAAAACTAATAATAATACTGTTGTTCCTGCCCCTGCAAAGGACGCCAAGAGGGCAAGAAAGATGCAGAAATCACCAGATGACAAGGTGCTCTGTGCCTGGGACAGGCTGTGGGAACCCAGAGGAAGGCGGTATTTGGGGAGGTTGATGGAGACAGGAACATCGCAGAGGACTGAAGGGAGGAGCAGGGTTTGGGCAGCCGCATGTGTGGCAAGGAAAGAACAAGAGCAGTAAGTCTGGAGGTGCCTCCTGGTATTTGGGACCATACACACCCTGGCAGGGAGAGTGGCTGCCCAGGGATCATTGCTGCCACCTCCGACCCCAACCAGCTCTGAGCTGCAGACCCCAGGGGAGGTACCAGGAAAGATTGCTAAAATTATCACCCCTCCGGCCGATTTTCCTAAACAATCCCTCTGTTTACCAGGTCAGCTCAGCGACCAGGAGGGCCCAGGGCTGTGGCACCAGAGTCAGGCTGGGAGACCTGGGCTTGGCCAGGCCAGGGGTGGGGATTAGGATGCAGCTGCCCCTGCGGTTTCTAGAAAACCAGCAGCCACATGATCCAGGCCAAAAAGGTCGGAGATTTGGAGCCCAAGAGCTGTGGTCTGGAGAGAGCGAGGGGAGAGAGCTGACTCCAGTCCTGTCCTCCCCGAAGAATGAGCATAACCCACTCCCATCTGCTGAGCATCTGCTCTGGGCCAGGCTGGGGCAGAATGCTTTGAGTACACCAGCTCATGTAACCCTCCAGCAACCCTGGGAGCAGGGTACTGAGCCTCAGAGAGGTGAAGTAACTTGCCCCAGGCCCCACAGCTGGCCAGCGGGAGCTAGGGTTTGAACCCAAGTATGTGCGGTTCCAAACCCCTGTGTGTACATGGTGTGTACATATTTGAGGTTTTTCTCGGAAGATCTGGGAGAACCTGCTTGCCAATGAGTCCTTTCCCCAGAGCAGCCCAATTGCCACCCAGGTCCCCAGGAACATCCCCCTCCCCGCAAACACACACCTTGTTCCTTTGTCTGCGCTTCCCAAGCAGCTCTCACGCCCCTCCAGGGCTCTTGTTTCATCTTGTCTTGGAGGTGGTGACTGTCACACCTGTCTCCCCACCAGTCCACGAGTCATATGCGGCATGAACTTTCTTATTCCTGTCTAGGAGCACAGTGGTTGGCATAAAGGAAGGGCACAGTAAATACCTCTGGAATTAGAAGGAGCCAGAACTATTTTATCAGTGTCTCTCCTGTGCTGAGCCTTGTGCCAGGTATTCATTCAAAGGGCATATCCTGAGGTTCTGTGTGTCCCATCCGGGCTCTGAGCCAGCCCGAGGGATGCCAGGATTAATACACTCAGCCCCAGCCCTCATGGAGTTCAAGTCCAGTGGGAATAGGAAGTGGGAATAGCCCCATGTCCTGAGGGCTTCATTCCGAGTGTCCCCGAGAACCTACTACATGCCTCCCACTGTGTCAGATGCTATCTATGAACACATCACCCTGTGTAACCCGAAGGTACAAATTACTGTTCTCATCATTGCTATTGCTCAGGCCACTCAGAGAAGTTAAGTAACTTGCCCAAAGTCACACAGCCTGCAAGGTAAGCCCTGACCTGGAAGATGACTACAACACAGCCGGTGGACAGTGAATTTGTTGCATGAATCTCAGGGTGTATATAATAGTTAACTATTACTAATAATATAATAATTATACTAATGATAACAGAGTAGTTAGGACATATTCAAGGTCTCCTTTATGTTGGGATCATGACATATATCATTTAATCTATATCACTCTGTGAAATAAGTACCGTTATATCCCATTTTGCGGATGAGGAAACTGGGGCAAGAAGAAGTGAAATCACTTGGCCAAGATCCACAGCTAAGAGGGGACAGAGCAGGGGCTCAAGCCAGGCCAGTCCCCTGCAAACCCTGTGCCAGGATCCAGGATGCCATGCCGGGCAGGCTGGTGGTGGAGAGGGGAGTGTTGCAGGTCGCTGGGCTGGAGCGCTGGGCAGGGCTCAGACGCTGCAAAGGCACGGCCAGCTCTGCCAAGCGAGCGTGCGGAGCTGGGGGGTCAGCGCTGGGTTTCTCCTCTGCAGGGGGAGAGGACGACGACGGGAGCTGCCTGGTGAATGGCCGCCGGTACCAGGACGGGGAGACCTTCCAGCCCCACTGCAGGACCCTCTGCCGCTGCGAGGACGGCGGCGCCACCTGCGTGCCACTGTGCAGCGAGGACGTGCGGCTGTCCAGCTGGGACTGCCCTTACCCCCGGAGGGTGGAGGTCCCTGGAAAGTGCTGCCCCGAGTGGGTGTGCCACCAGCAATCTGAACTGGGGGTCCAGCCCCTTCCAGCCCAGGGTGAGTGCAGGGCCGGCCCCCACCCAGGGGCGCCGCCGTGGGCCTGGGGGCTGGAAGGGGTGGGGCTCTTCTCAGGTGCCAGGACGCCGGGCGCATCAGCAGTGGGAGGGGGCGGGGGCTGAGAAAAGATGCAGGAAACAGGAGTAGAGTCACCAGGTCTCTTTCAAAGTGGCAAACCAAGAAGCAGCCGTTTCGATACGTAATTTAAAATCACAAATAATGAAAAATTAAAACGAGGTGGCAGCGTGGGGAGGGGAAAGGAGGATTAGGATACTTGAACCAAATTCTCACATTCCATAGCAGAGATGTAATATTATGCAATGTGGTCGAGGTTGACTATTATGATATATAATACTAGTGTATTTATAGTGTATCGATGCCTATCGATAATATATATTATTTATTTATTATTATTTGGGTTTATAAAAAAAGAACTCAGAACTGACCTAGGCAAGGTGGTTGTCTCTGGGACATGGGCCTGGGCGTGGGCAGAGACAGAGAAAAGACAGTTACCTCCGCTATAAACTCTTCAGTTTTAGAGATTTGTTGTTGCTATGTTGCTTTTTTAAAAGTTATTATGACCTAACTGTGACTCTGTAAAAAAAGGCAACAGAAAGAGAGGATTGGTTCCGTGAATGCTGATGGAACACACGAGAGGCAGCAGGGCGTGGCGGGTTAGGAGCACGGCGTCTGCACCGGCCCCGCCACTTCCTCGCTCTGTGACTCTGAGGAACTTGCTTAACGTCTCTGTGTCTCAATTTCTAGAACAGTAAAATGGGGGTAATAACGGCATCCACCTCATAGCACTGTTGTGAGAACTACAGGAGTTAGTACGAGTAAAGCGGGTATAACACACGTGGCATGTAGCACTACGTCAGTGGTGGCCCTTATCCCGGTGACGGAATGTGAGCTATCCATTCCAATGCATAGCAGAGCGCCAATGAGCTCACCTTATGTATAAAAAACAGGGTAAGAATCCACATCTCCAAGGTGGTCTCCACTATGTGTGTACGTATGTATGCGTATGCACACACGTGCGGAGAAATCGGGGTTTCTCAACCTCAGCACAAGTGACATTTGGGGCGAGTAATTCTTGAGGAGGGATGTTTGACATCACCCCTGGCCTCTACCCACTAGATGCCAGCAGCCACCGCCCCTCGAATTGTGACAACCAAAAACGTCTCTGGATGTTGCCAAACGTCCCCGTGGGGAGCAAAATCACCCTTAGTTGAGAACCGCTGGCGTAGGACTGGAAGGAAGGACATCAAAATATTAATGGAGAAGGAGGAGGCTTGGGAGGAGGAAAAGCTAGACCATGGTCCCAGGAATCTTGGCATCTTTAGCATCCTTGCCACAGGGTCCCGGCACCAGTACACACGGCCGGGCCCCTCCTGCCCAGGCGATGCTACTTATTATCAAAGGCACCAGGGGGGTTACGGAAGGAGAAAGCCCTAATGTTTGCTGGGGAGCCATCCAGACCCGCACTGTCCTAGCTGGCCAATAACCAATATTTACAGGGAGCTTACAAGTTCACACCCATCCTTTTATTCCATCCCAACAAGCAACTGTTAGGAAATTTACATAAGAAGAAACAGGTCCAGAGAGGCTAAGTACCTTGGTGCATCACTGTGGCCAGGTCGGTCGCTTTGGCTGCCAAGCCCTGACCTCGCAGTGCTGACTCCTTGTTCTTCCTCCAGGACCCCAGTTTTCTGGCCTTGTCGCTGCCCCACCCCTTGGCGTCCGCTGCCCGGACTGGAGCACGGCCTGGGGCCCGTGCTCGACCACCTGTGGGCTGGGCGTGACCACGCGGGTGTCCAACCAGAACAGCCTCTGCGTACTGGAGATCCAGCGCCGCCCATGCCTGCTCAGGCCCTGCCTGCCTTCCAGGGGCCGTGGAAGACTGAACAGAACCTTCTAGAGCCTGGCTGGGCACAGAGACGCCATGCCCACCGTCCCCAGCAGGCGGCTCTGTGAGCTTGGGTCCACCATCCAGGGCCAGGGGGACAAGAATATTCACAAGCCGCCTGGTCCCGAGCGACTCGGAGACACAGTCGGGGTGCATGACCTAGTCCCGCTTCCTAACTCACAGTCTGGCAGGCTGGGCGAGCTTTCCAGGGTCTTCTGGTCTATTCCCAGCCTCGTCTCAGCCTTTATCAAACATGCACATGGCGCGCTTTCTCTGCCACCTCCCCTGGGCAGGAGATGGACAACCACTCCCTTACAATGACACAGCAGCAGGGCTGGGCTGGGCCAGCCACTTTTCTGGGGGTATAGCGAAGAGGGGGCACACAGATATTCTGAATCTCTTGCTTCCTTTCCTGGAGTTTTGTAAAATGGTCCCTGAATTCAAGCCTGTGCGTGAACTCGTGTGTCAGGCTTGCGCTGCCTGAGGACACCCTGCCACCCGGGGCAGAACTCAGGGGGCTGAATTCTTTGTGAACCCCGCCAGGTGAAATCACACGGTCTCGAAGAAAGTCAGAAAAACAGGCTTTCAAGTGATCCATGGAACCCAATTCGTATTAGGAAAATTAACCTTTCCTGAGCACCTCCCATGTGCCGGGCACTGAGCTACACGCTTTGCATGGGCATGAAGGCTGCCTCCCAGGGACTGGGGGACACAGCCCGAAATAAACCAACCCAGGTGTGAAACGCTGTTGGAAGTCTCGTGTTTTATTGTTTATAGAAAGAAAAAAAAGCGAAACACATAAATTTTACATCCTCCTCTATGGTCTACCTGTGTTTGTTTAAAAATTAAAACTGTGTTTCCATCATAGGAAATTAGAAAAGCACTCAGTATTTAAACAGGGATTTCTTCTTATTAAGCTGATTTTACTGGGGTGTAATTTACACACAGTTAAATACACAGGTGTCACGCATGCAGTTTAACGAGTCTTCGCAAATGTACACACTCAGGTAACCAACACCTCGATCAAGGTATAAAACATTCCCATCACCTCAGAGTGTCCCTCTGGCCACTTCCTGGTTACCCTCTCCTCTCCCCAAGACAACCACTGCTCTGATCTCTAACACCATAGATGAGTTTTCCTGTCCTTGAACTTCACTTAAATAGGACCATATGTTAATAGTAGGTGCTCTTCAATGAATGCCTTCTTTCACTCAACATAACAGAAAAGAAGGAATGTAACGAGGGGACGTAGTTACCCAGCTGAGAGGCCAAACAGGGGACTGTGAGAGGCAAGAGAGAAGGAAAGTCACTGCCAGCGCTCGGGGTGGAGGGGCAGAGGGAGGGCAGAGCCCGATGCTGGCATCGCAGGCAGAAGATGGCACCGCAGCAAGGCCCTCTGCTGGGAGCTGGAGCTGCCCAGGGGACGCAGCCTTGCAGACCTAACGAGAAGTAGACCGAGATGGGGACTCATACCCCGGCTCATCCCTCTTCTGTTCCCATTTCTGGTTGTGCCTCCCATTAGGCAAACCTACTGGGAAGGAAGAAGGCAAGGGAGCCCGGGAGATGCGGGGCAGGGAGGGGCAGGAGGGGACTGGGAACCGGGGCGATTTCGAGCCCCCTGCCCCAGGTGTGGCCGCTGGTCAGGAGGGCACGTGCTGCCCACCCTGATGTTTGCTTCAGGTACCACCCCTCACGGCAGACACAACCACCTCCAGTGATCTGTCCAAAAGATGGTCTGCAGCGGGGTGGGATTTTCGTCCAAACCGAGTTTATCTGACTCTCAAGACTGGCTTTATGGTCGCTCGCAGGCAGTGAATTTCGGTGGGTCTGGCTCTGCAAGAGTGAACTCTCAACTTACTGCCAGGAAAAGTTCTGATAACATCCCGATAAGCAGCGAGAGTGAGGACGAGCACAAGGAACACGCATCGAACAATTCCTATGGGGAAGGCTCTCTGCCAAGAGCTGTCTCCACACTACAGTGTGTCATCCTTGGGACACCCCTAAAGGAAAGAGCTACTGATATTCCCATCTTAGAGATGAGTAGACTGAGGCTTGAGGGATGAACAAGTTGCCCTGGTGTTGCGGAGCGGGGACCCTCGGCCAGGCTGGCTGCGAGGCCCACGACCTCACGCCGGGGCAGCTGTTGGGCCGTGCTGGAGCGAGTGGGCCTGGCCAGCCTGCCCAGGTTTGGGTCCTGGCTCTGCTGTTTCCTAGCGGTGTAATCTTAACAAAGTACTTAACGTCCTCGTGCCTCAGTTTCCTTTCTTTAAAATGGGGATAAATGGCAATACTCAACACAAAGGATTGTTGAGAGTATTATTGGATTTAAATAAAAATTTTAGCAATCATTATCCTGACTTGACCTCTTGGTGCTTCAGTGTTTTAATCTGTAAAATGGGGATAAATGGTAGTGCCCACCACATAGCAACACGATATTAAGGGAGCACCCACTCCCTAGGGGTGTTGTGAGTGTGAGGTGAGTAATTCCTCCATGTCCTTAAATGGAAGCTACCATTGCTACCCTGCCTCTGCAGTTCTTTGAGAGTCAGGAGCGAAGGCAAGGGCTGGGAATCCTCTTGTTTGCGGAGAAGAGGAGGTGGTGTTGGGGGCAGAGGCCACAGGTGAAAACCAGCTAACCCTCTCTGAAGCTCTCATAGCCAGAGATTCCTGGGCCTGGCCATTCCCTCAGAGCTTCCTCAACGCTGGGTCGGGGCTGCCAGGGAAAAGGAGTGTTCCTGGGCCCAGTGTTCTCTGGAGAGCCCTTTGCTACCTGCTGTGGCCACACAGCCTGGCACGGAGCCCATCCCTTGGGCCCTTGCACACCGTCCTCCTCCACACTGGGAGCCGGGAGAAAGAGGAAGTTTCCGTAGTGGGGAGCATCAGCAGGCCCCCAAGATCCTCCTGTCTGCCGGGATACCCAGGGCCCTCCCCATCCCCACTGGTTACAGTTCAGATGAATTCAGCAATCACAGCCGGCCAGGCCCTGCCCTGGGATCTGGGGACAAGGATGGCACCCAGAGACGGTCACACACTGGAGGGGCGCAGCTTACAGCCTCACCGTTTATGGAGCACCTACTGTGTTCCTGGTGCTTTCTATACATTATCTTACTGAGTGTGAGGCAGTTGTTGGGATTCGCGTTCTACAGATGAGAAACTGAGGCCTGGGTAGCAGAATCACTGCTCACCATCCGGGCTGGGGAGGCCAGAATCGGCTGAAGCCAGGGGCCCGCCCAGCCTCCTCTCTCTCTCTCTCTCTTTCTCTCTTTCCCATCCTCCTTCCTTCCCTCCCTTCCATCTTTTCCTCTTTCCCTTCCTGTTCCATTCTTTTCCTTCTTTCTTGAATTTTGAATGAAGTATAAAAAGTATACAAATCACGAGTGTTCTGTCTGTCCAGTTTTCACAAACAAAACATATCCACTCAGTCGGCACCTGGATCAAAGGCAGGATCTCACACTTCTGCACCCCCAAAACCCACCGTGGGCACCCTTTCATCACTACCCCGACAAAGCCACTCTCCTGACTTCTAGCAGCACGGATTGTGCCTGTTTTCAAAGTTTGTTTAAATGAAATAATGCGTTATGTTCCTTTCTGTGTCTTATTTTTTTTTCACTCATCATGTTTCCAGTTTCACCCACGTTGTTGTAAGTAACAATAGTTCATTCTTTCTCTTTCCTGTGTAATATTCCATTGTGTGGATATACCTCATTTTACTCTCGATGGGCATTTGGGTAGTTTCCAATTTGTACAGAGAAACTAAGGAAACAGCCCAAGTTCACACCATTCAAAGTTGGCGTAACCAAGATTCAAACCCAGAAAGCCCTGCTCCAGAGCCCATGCTCTTGGCCGTCGGGCCACACTGAATGCAGCTACCACAGTGGTGCAGGTACAGTGCAAGAGACTGCGTGAGTGGCCACGGGAATGAGAAGGAAGGGATGGAGGGAGAACCAGCAGGGCTTGACCCACACATGTGAGATCTTGATTGAAGGGAAATGGGGGAAAAAAGACATCCAACACTTCCCTGGGCTTTCCCTGGAGGATTGGGAGGATGGTGGCACCATCAACAGAAACAAGGAAGGGCAGAGGGGAGCCCCTTTAGGTGGCACACAGGAGGGAGTGTTCTAGAGGTTCTGACTTCCAGGAGACAGTAGCCACCAGGACAGCGTGGCTGGAGGCAGCTGGAGACCCCAGATGGGTCAGGTCTGGCTTAGGGAGTGCGGGCGCAGGCAGTGAGAACTTGAGTCTGCTGCACAGAGGGGAAGAGTCAATAATCAGATTGCCTGAGCTGACTTAGTTAGGAAAAGAGCTAACATGTACTTGTGTGCTTGCATGCATAGCCTCTAATCACCCCCTCTGCCTTCACTGCTGCCCCGGCGGAGTCACCTGGGCTCTGTCCAGACGACAGCAGTAGCTGACTCCTGCTGTCCTAGCTTCCGTGCTTACTCCTTACAATTGTGCTCAACACAGCAGTCAGAGGGGGCCTGTGAGAACCAAGCCAGATCAAGTGATCAAGCCAGATCGCTCCTTTACACTCCAAAAGCAGCTAAAGGCCTTTGCGTGACTTACAAGACCCCCACTATCTGTCCGCAGCCACCTCTCTGCCCTCCTGCCCTCCCCCTCTGTGACTTCCCCTTGCTCACGCTGCTGCCACCTCATTGGCCTCTTTGCTGTTCCTCATACACGCCAGACATGCTCCCACCCCAGGGCCTTTGCACTGGCTGTCCCTGCTGCCTGCCGTCATTTTCCTCAGATACCCTGGCTGATCCCCCGATCTCGTTCCACTTTGATTCACATGTCAGCATTTCTCCGAGAACCCGTCCTGGCCATCCTCTTCCAATCCCCCTTGGGCTGCTCTACTTACTCTTTTTCCCACGGCACATATCTATCACCTTTTAACACACGACATAATTTATATATTTATTACACTTATTACTTGTTGCCTGACACCACAAGCATTGGGACTTCTTTTATCTGCTTTGTTCGATGATGGGTCCCCAGAACCAAGAACAGTCCCAACACAGAACCAGGCTTGGTACTGAATGAATGAGAAAATAGATCTTGCTTGGGAGAAAATATTTGCAAGCCATACATCAGATAGAGGGTTAATATGCAAAATATATAATGAACTCAAACGACTCAATAGCAAGGAAAATAACCTGATTTAAAAGGGGGCAAAGGACCTGAATAGACATTTCTCAGAAGAAGATACACAAATGGCCAACAGGTATATGAAAAAATGCTCAACATCACCAATCATTAGGGGAATGCAAATTAAAACCAAATGAGGTATCACCTCACCTCTGGCAGAATGGATAGTATCAAAAGATGAAAGATAACAAGTATTGGCGGGGGGTGTGGAGAAAAGGGAGCCCCTGTCCACTGTCGATGGGAGTGTAAAGTAGTACAGCCATTATGGAGAACCGTATGGAGGTTCCTCGAAAACTAGAAATAGAATTACCACATGATCCAGCCATCCCACTTGTGAGTACATATCCAAAGGATTTGAAATCAGGATGTCAAAGAGACATCTGCTCTCCCACTTCACTGCAGCACTATT